ATATATATATATATATATATATATATATATATAAACTCAATTTTCTGTATTCTTTGATTTCAATAAAATATAAATTATTAACAATAAAATATTTTAAAGATTTTTTAGGAATAACTATCTATTTTTTTTACAATTCTTTTTTAGAAATTTATTTTATTAATTATTATATGAATACATATTTGTATATTTTATATGAATACAATAAATTTTTAAATATATTTAATAAAAAAATTATATAATTAAATTTTATATAAAAAGTTAATTTAATAAAACAATTAAGTCAGTTTCTACATATTCAGGTAGATTAAGATTATATGTTTTTTCTAATTTTTTTGGTACAAATCGACCACCTAAATAATGATATTTTCCTTGAAATTTTTTCGCACATAATTTTGGTGCTGTTAATGATACAAGCATTTCTGGTTTTATTCCACCTTCTGTAGGTGGTCCATCTTCAACATTCCAACCAGATGGTATATCTATGCTGCATATTGGAATACTTGTACTTTCTAATAAACGAATAATAGGTATAAATAAATCTTTTACAGGTGGTTTAAAACTAAATCCAAATAATGCATCAACTATAAGACTATATTGATGCAATTGTTCTGAAGCAATATATTCTATATCATTTTTTAATAAAGGAATATCATTTTCAATGCATTGATGTAGCAAATTTTCATATAAGATATTATTTGTTCTTTTTGGATAATAAATTTCAGGAAAATATCCAAATTGTTTTAAATGTCTAGCACAAACAAGTCCATCACCACCATTATTTCCTGGACCACAACAAATCAAAATTTTATGTACAGAGTTTTTTAGTGATGGATAAGTACGAGCAATGGCAATAGCACAACTTTGACCAGCAAGTTCCATTAATTGATCAACACTGAATTTATATTTTTCAAATAAATCCTTATCTATATTAATGCTTTCCGTTTGATTCAAATATTTCACCATAGTGGATAATGCTCTTCCAAAAGAGAAAATAAATTTATTATTAGATAAAAAGGGTTTTATATAACCCTTAATATATATCATTTATTAATTTTATTACGTACAAATATGTAATAAAAAATAATATTATAACCTCTTATAGTATATTAGTTACTTGATTTATTAATATAAATAAATGTTAATCTTATTATAAAATATTGATTATTCTTATTATGTAATATTTTTTAATAATAATTGTATATAAAATTATACGTATTAATTTTATTATGTTCTTTGAAATCTTTTCGTAATTTTATAATTCACAAAACAATGAACTGACCTCAATGTTTTTAAAGCTATTTATATATATGATGTATATTTTTTTGTTTTATTAAATATATTATATAAAATTGAATATAAAAAAAATGTTATTGTTATTAATTATATAAAAAACAATATTAATATTATAATAAAATCATTAAAATAATTTTTTTTATTTTCCTATCTGTAATATTTTATTTATTGTTATACATTTATGCAAAAAAGAATAATCTTAAATATGTACAATAAGAGATTTATATTATAAATAAATGCAATAATTTATATTATTTAATAAATTAACCATGAATTGCAGAACAATTTTTAATAGAATTGGATTTAAATGTTTCTACATTTCGTTGAATGAATGTAAGTAATCGCTTAATCATAACACGTGGTGTCCATATGAATTCATAAGGATAGTTTTTTACTTTTTCTCTATAAACAGTATCCTGTGATGTTATATGATATATTGAACATAATTCAATAGTAGGTGGTTCTCGAGGAAATCCTAATGGAAGATGAATATACAATACTGCATAGAAATCATTTTCACATAGTAAACATGATACATAGGTATATTTTATACTATCAAATTCTAAAATAGCCTCATATTTTAGAAGTAAAAATGCTGCTATATACTCTCTTCTTTTTTCTAAACTTTGAATAACTGAGTTTACCTACAATAAAAATATATTTTATAAACAATAATAACAAATGAATTAAAAAAAATTACCTTTGCTGCTATAATTTTTTTATTTTTAATATGTAATGTATTAAATGTGTATCAGATGGAAAATAAGGTACATATAATTCAACTATTTCACTAAGAATTCCTTCTAAGGATTTTGAAAACTGCAATTGTGAAGTAATACGATTCCAATCTGTTCCAGAAAATGTTACAAGAAGCACTGCAACATCATTCTCTGATTTGCAAGTACGAATTTGTAATTGAGAAAGATCCACTGATAAACTTATTAAAAATCTTGCTTCTGTTGGCTTAGAACTAAATGGTAATAATATCATTTCAATATCTTCTTGCCTGATTTCTTGTGAAGTCACAAGCATATTATATTCTATTTGTAATCGAGCTTGTTTTTGAATTAATTGTATCTAATGTATGAGAAAAATATATAAATTTAATATAGTTTAAATATTAATAAATTCATAAACAAAATATTACAAACCTGATGTTCCTTGTAACATAATAAAAGTTCTTTAAGAACATTTAATAATGCATTTTCATCATTGGGATTCCATTTAGCAAGACTAGGTACTTTAGCAGATAAAGCATCTACATCTATATCTGCTAAAAAAGTATTATCATTAAATATAAAATCAGGGCCCATTTCAGGACATTGTGAATCAAAAAACACATTCCATACTAAATTTTGTTTAGCATATGGAATAGATAATTTAAAACGATCTCCTTGTTCTTTTCCACAACTAGACGACAAAGAATCTATCTTAATTGTCTCACAACAAACTCCTTGTAAAAAAAAGAATTAAAAAATAAATTAATATAATATAAAATTATAATAATATATATTTTATATATTGCAACTAACCAAGTTTTTCTGTCGATAGAACGCGAATTAAAAGTGGTTCAATATATGAGTCAATGGCAGTTAATATTGCACATTGTTGATTTAACATCATAACAATTTTTAAAGAATTTTATAAATTATAATATATATTATATAATAAAAAGAAAGTGTTTATTTTTATGATATTTGTTACATATATATTTATTTAAGATTATATATTATAAGAATCTTTATAAAGATAATATATGTTATGTATATAATATTATTTTATTAAAAGATAAAATTTTGTTATTTTAAAATAAGAAATTTAAATGCACATGAAAACGTTTGTCCGATGTTTAAATCAAAGATTTTTTTTCATTATAGTACTAAAGCAATTCAATTAGTATATATGTATAATATATGATTTTATATATATAATCATATCTTTTTAATAGATTTTAATGATATTGTTACATTAATGATAATGAGTAAAATTTATAATCATTAAAATTTTATAAAAAGTCATTTAATGTTTTAAAAAAAATCATATTATATCGAAAATAAATTTACTAGATTATATTCTAGGAATATAATTAAAGATATGTTGGTATTTGATCAGGATTTATTAGAAATTATTTATTCGGTTCAATTATTCTATTACTATTAACTATTCTACTTTTAAACCTTAATATTATTATATGTTATCTTATGTCTTGAATTTTTGAAATAATTTCTATATTTTTGATTTTGTCTTGATTTTTTTATAAATAATCTTAGACTATTTGTTTTAAATTTAATGATTATGTAGTATATTTGAGTTCATCCAAAATAATGAAAAATTTCTTCATATAATTTTTTTTTTTAATAAAGAAATGTAAATAAAATATATCGATAATTTAGATGCATAATTTATCGATTAACAAATCGACACAATTATCGATTAAAAATCGAGCAATTATAATTGATTTAATGCAAGATTACATTGTTCATAAAATTGAAAAATAAAAGAAATTTTTACGCATTAAATTTTGTGTTATAATTTATTTTAATTTTTAAACGAAAACTAAATTCTCTATTTACTTCATTCGAAAATTCTATACGTATTTTTATTTCATAACATTGAAAGATTTGAGACAGGTTTCTTAAAAAATGAATTCAAGAATTCAATTTTTTCATTCTTATTTTATTTATCTTTTATTTTAAAAATTATATTTCAACATTTCCGTTCAGTATTATTAACTAATTTTTTAAAGAATTATGTAATTATTTTTTATTATTTTCATGTTCAAATATCTTATTTCAATATAAAGAAATTCTAAATTCTAACAAAAACTCAAAAAATAAATTGTTTTAAACACGATATCTATACCTGGATGTATTATAACATGATAAATATATTCTATAAAATATGAAATTTTCATTTAGTTTTAAAATATGTACAAAATACATTTCTCTTGTGTAATATTACGACATGTAAATTATATGGTGTTATTCAAATTTATTCCATAAATAACAAAGTGAATATAAGGCTACATATAAAAGTAAAACTTCAGCAAATTAATATTTCAAAAAAAACTGAATCATTTTTTTCATATTATTTAAAACATAAAATAGAGAAATTATATTGTGACATTGAAATATAAAAACTATTATAAACGCATACATTGTATATTTCTATCATAATTAAAATGTATTGAATGTTTATAAAGAAAACAGTTATTCATATAATCTATAAAAATATTACGTCCTGAGATAAAATAATTTGTAAATAACATTAACATTGATCACTTTTTATAATGTTGAAAACAATAGTAAATTTTACTTTTTTTTTTATTAACATAGAATTTTTATTTTCATTTCTATAATATCATAGATATTATACCGAATATTTAAATCACTTTTATAATTCTATTTGGTTTGAAATTTTTATTTTATTAGACTTTTTATCTTATATGATACAAGTCTAATTCAGATATATACAACGCATATATTATTGGAAAATTGACAGACCACGTTTATTTTTTGTTATAAAAACTCCTATGAGTTAATTCCTATCATGTAAAAAAGATATTAATTATGATATAACTTTAACAATAAATTATATTTCATAACTGCAGGACATCTATTCTCTAAAAACATAAATGAAATTTATCACAAAGTTGAAATTTTAATAAAGGAATTTAAATCTAATCTTTTATATATACTGTTAGTACAGCATTTCTCTCTCAACATCATTATTACTAAAAGTCTGTTTCTTAAAACTTTTATATATCCAACTCTTTCTTTTATGAAAGTATCAAAAATATCCTTTCTGGTGTACATTTCCCAACAAACAACAAAAATGAAACGTCAGATTTATAATGAAACCATAAAAATTACAATTAACTTGTATAACATAAAGTTTCCCCGATTGTTATTCAAAGCTTTTGACTAAATTTCATGATATTCCCTTCTCCAAAAATAATATACAATGATCAATAACAGATTAGCCTAATTATCCCTAATCCGACTCAAAAATATAAAACTAAGTAAAATTTGTAAATATGATACAATTGATAGTAAGCTATAGAGTAGTAGTAGATTAATTACAGATACATATAGATAATAGCATTGTATCGTTGAATCTTATGGCGATTTTTTAAGTCCCCTGCTTACAGTATAATCAAGGATTTAGTTCAATGTCTGCTTTTATAATCAAATTGAGTATATCTCATTCAGTCAAACAATTGCATACACCAACCAGCACAGTGGACTAGCAGCCATCTTGACTAGCTTTTTTTCATATTTTTTTCATTTCCATCCTCTTTATTCCCATTATAATGAGAGTCTTTGAAATAAACAAGTTGCATTGTGCTATTACAACTTCAATAGGTATAAATCAATCTCCAGGATGTTCAGGACAACTACGGTTCACTTGAAACCATTTATCAATACAACTGTAAAAAATTGTATTTTATTAATTTCATATTATAAATATTTATATTTACAAGAAATTATAAAATAAATTTATTTTATACAATTTAATTGAAAGTTGCAAATTTATTAATATGAAATAAATATAACTTACTTTTTATGGTATATACACAGGCAAGGTAAACGAGCTATAACATCTCCAGGTTGTAATTCTTCAAGACAAATAACACATTCCCCTTTCTCATCAGATAATATATCTTCTACAATAATAATAAAAAAATATTTCATTTGATAAAATAAAATAAATTATACATATCGTTATATTATGGAAACCCAAAATTTTAAAATAAAGAAATTTAAAATTGAATATATTAAAAAGGAACTATAATCATGCAGTATTTTATTATAAAATTTCAAATATATATAAAATTAAGACAAAAATGAAGTAATATTTTAAAGAAATAATTATAATTGTTATTTTTAAATAAATGAATATTTAAAATATATTTATTAATAATTATATATTATATTTAATAATACTAATAGTAATTTATTAATAATAATTTGAATATGAATCAATCAAATCATTTTAAATTTCAAATCTTTATAATTTTTCTAAAAAATTTCTAAAAAATATTTTTAAAAAATTTTTTTTATATATTATCATTATATGTGAAAATTGATTAAAGATTTCTTTTTTTTAATATCATAATTGATCAAAAATATTTTGTTTAAATTTTAAATTATTTAAAATATTTTTAAATAACTAATTAAAATTAATTACATTATTTTTAAACTATTCAATTGTACCTATTTATGCAAATAATTAACAATAATTTTTAAATATATATAAAAAATATGTATAAAAAAATTAATTATTTTTAATTATTTCTTACATAAAAATATAATACTCATATAATAATTGAAAAAAGTTTATAATTACTAAATAAAAACTCACCATTGTAACTAAGACGTGGCTTAGTTAAGCACATAACCAAGTGACATTCTATATCATCTGGTAGAATAAACTTGGAGCAAACAGGACATTTTAGACCTTGAATATAAAATAAAATATTATTTGCTATTTTAATAATATCATATTGTCACGAAACTAAGAGAAATTATACCATAAAAAATTCTTCTCACTTGATTTACTGGAACAACTTCTGTCTCAGATTCATTTAGGCATGAACTTATTATAATTCCCATAATAAAATTCAAACAACTTTATTATACCCATCACAAATTATAAAATTGCACAAAATTTTTTGTTTAGAATTATTACTTTACAGTCGCAATTTAAAATTTACGCAACTAGGTTAAATCACATAATCGATTCATATATGGTTACCGGGCCAACTATTATGACAACACGAATCAATCAAACAAATACCTTTTATATATTTCATCCATAATTATTTCAAAAAATTTTAAGATCGTAACATAACCTTACTTTCTTCAAAATTTCATTTCAGTTAATACATTATAACATATAATGCATTTTAAATTACATACATAATCTATAAATATAATCAATTCAAAAAATAAAAAAATTATACTTAGTAATTCATATATAACATATTAATAAAAATACAAAAAATATATAATGAAAATAAATATTTTCCAAAATAAACAAAATTGAAAACAGAAGTTTATCTATATTTATATATAAGTACTTTAGATAATTGCATATCAAAAAGAAAGTTATGTAATCAATAATATTATTTATATTATATTAATTAAATCATGTTTACTTTTTAGATTATATAAATTTT